CAGGATAAGTAATAAATAAGGTGTTTATTTCTAACATTAATTCACATTGTTTTGTTTAATTTTTCTCTCTTACACATTGATTTTTTTTTTTGGACATTCAACATAGTACATGCTATTCTTGTTATTTTGTTAATTTTTTTTGTCGTAGATTTTTTTCATGTGTTTTTTTTTCTTGAAAATGACATAACAACAGGCAAAATAAAAATTCATCAACTACACCTAGTCGCTAAAATGTTTGTTTGTTATTTTTTTTTCTTGACAATTTCCTTTTTTTGTGTTAATGGTTTTATTTAAATGTCCTTTTGGTTTTTCTTCTTCTGGTAAATGCAATTGTTTCATTTCATTTAAATGTTTCTTCGCTAGTAAACAAAAAAAACCATTGGTTTGTTCATGTGAAAAGAGTTCCCAGAAATGAGGTTGAAGCCGGTGGTGAATGGTTGAGTGTGGCTGCTGTGGCTACAAAATGGCAATGTTTAATAGTTTCTCTTCGGGGAGGAGGTCGGGATTACATCTAATATTGTGTCGGATATAATGGCATAATGGTAATTCAGAAGCCGCCAACTCAATATTCAAAAATGGGGGCCAAACGGCTCATTTCCGGGAGCCATTTTCCAACAGTTAGCTAGTGTATGTGTGTATGTGTGTTTTTTAGCTAGACAAATATGTATCTGCTTCTGAAAAGCTCTCTAATAAAAACCCTCTCGCTATGTTCATTTGGTTTGTTTTAATAAATACATGTCTACCGATATTTTCCGCAAGAAAATGGCGTTTATGGCATTTTGGGTCGCTATAAATAGTTAATTGTTTATTTCAATTTTTCTTCTTCCATTCACTCATACTCATTTTCATCTGCGTCATCTTCTTCAACTGTTTGTAATAAAACATGTATCTCCTAAGCCGTATGACGAAACATTTCACACGGACATATCAAAAATCACAGAAGAATTAACAAGTTATATAGATGTAGTTGATGCTTGCAAACATGCAGTTTTGCGTTGCGTTTTTTATGGTTTTGGTTGGTTGGTTTGGTTTGGTTTGGTTTGGTTTGTGAGACTCACTCTACGTATTGTGTAAAGACGATAGGCTTTAGAAAAGTTGTTTCTAATAATATGTTTTCAGTTTGTTTGTTTTTTTTGGTAACAGTTGTCTCTCAGTTGATTGGAGTTTTGTTCACTATGATATAAGCTCATTGTTCAATGTGTGTGTGTGTGTGTGTTTGTTGGTTGCTTGGTATTCCTCTATGTGGTACTGTGGCAGCTGCTGCTACTTCGGCTGCTACTACTATAATAATTCGCTTTTAATGGCATTCGTAGCGTACTCATATTGGTTTTGCTATTTGATTTGTGCAACGATGGCAGCGGTGTTGGCTCTTCGACAACGGCTCGATAGTGTAGATTCAATGGTTCCGATAGAAATTGACTTTTATCCAATTTATTGGCCAATGTTTCATGCGCCATATTACCGGTGGATTTGCTGTACTTGTTGTTATTCTCACTGCTACTGTTACTCGATAAATGGAAAAGCTTCGGCGTTGCACTTTCGCCCACATTTCGATTGTTATTCTGAACTTGTGGACCAATCTCATCAATCGCACAAATTGTCTCTTGATTCAAATCGACGCCGTCACTATTCAAACCTGTCGTAAAACTGGTTTGCATGGCAATCGATATGTTATTTGTGCTGGTCGATGCATCAACTTCAGCAGCGCGTTCAACACGTGCAACTGTTTTTGAATTTGACTTTCGTGAACGTGACTTGATTTCCTTGAGTGGCAAAAATTCCGTATTTTGTAGTTCAACATCGGTATCTGTGCTAAATTGATCCATATCGTCGTCGGTGTCAGCGTACGTCTCTTCAAATACTGAATCCGAAACGGGACTTCGCAAATCCGAATCCTGATAATCAATCGATGACATTTTCAGCGAACTGATCGAGGCCAATGGAGCTCGTCGATTCGATAACAAATTAGTTTGAAATGTATTATTCAACGTGTACTTAAGCATAGTGTCGTCTAAACATCGGGTTTCTAAGCCTAACTTATTGATTTGCTGTGCTAATACTGTGGTTTCGGCCAGTTCTTCCTCTTCGATTTCATCATAGTAAAATCGCCGGCTTCGCTCCGGATACGTACTGGTCGAATCAAATGATTCCTGATCAATTGAGCGTCGTCTTTGTGCTTTTTTCCAACGGCGGGCATTCACAGCACCACCGCCGCCGCCACCATCTTGATAGTGCCTTTGGTCAGTGCGTTCACTCGAACACGGTGACACACGTGGTGTTGGTTGGGTTAATTGAATGTCTGGCGGCTGATGAACATAATCCCAAATATTTGTTGTGCTTGGACATCGTGAAGAAATTGCCGGCAATGGGCTTAGACCTAATGTTATTGATGAGCATCTTCGTTCCAAATACGAACTCTCCGTTGAGCAGCATGTTATATTGCTGCAACGCCGCGATTCATTTCCCTATTTATAGAAATACAATAAAATTGGTTTACGATCTCATTATTTCCACATTAAAGCCGTTCACAAGGCATGAAACATTACCCGCTGTGGCGCAGATAGATACGGTTGTTGCGGTCGATCGTCCACATCATTGCTGCTGGTGATTTGATCGAATTCGTCATCGGCTTCGTCTCCATCACTTTCCATATAGTAATCAAAGCTTTCATTTATCGGATAGGCACAAAATACACGAGATGATTCAACTGAATTGCTTTTACGATAAGATCCGGCATAAGAAAAACGTCGCTGAGTTGGTGTTAATAAACTGCTATAACCGCCTAAAATGATGACATGCGTGATTTAATCACACGTTTCAACGAGTGCGTGCCTCCGTGCATTTGTGATTTAAATTAAACTCACCTATTGATGAAAACCGACCAGTTTGATTGAGTGTGGGTGGAGCGCTTACATTGCCGAGTGACATCATGCGGCTTCGCGAGCGATATGGAAACGAGTCCACGTAATCATCTGGATAAATAGACAGTCCAGTTGCTTCCATCGCCTCGGCCAGTTCACGATCCTCTTCTTCTTGCATAACAGCTGCTGCAACTGCAGCAATTTTAGGGTCCTTGAAATGCAAATTTCGCATTAGAAAATCGCACATAACCAATAAAATGGAGTCAAATGCAACAGAGCACAATTACCTTTAATGCTTTCATTGTTTCGATTCTTTCGCCGCGGCTCTTATAAATTACTAAAAACACCATCAAGCCAAAAAATCCGCCCAGCGTTGTGGCGATTCGCACACCAGTCATGGCATCATAGGTGGAAAAGAATTCGGTACGAATGCGTTCCCGTTCGGCAGCGATTTGCTCTAAAGTTGGTGGTTCAGTTGCATTGACTATGTAATAGGAATCGGGAGGGCTGAATGCCTGAGGCGGGGGAGATCGATGATGCGGATATGTTTGATTTTTGTTCTTCGCATGATGGCCTTCGTTTCTTGGGCTCCTTCACGATTTTGGAATAGAGACGAGAAGAAAAAAACCCGAGAGAGAGAGAGAGAGGGAAAGAGAAAGAGATCAATTTATATTAAAATGTGTTTTGGGTTGACCGTTTGAATAATTTATGCGATTTTTATGGTACCTGTTTTTGTGTGACTCGTTTCTGGTTGGATTTTTCGCGTAGCGTAAATTCGGTTTTGTCACCAATTTCGATTTCTGGTGATAGGATTGTCGACGCATTTCATCATGATATGGTTGTGGCGATTTATCTGTAGCAAACGACCGACGCTGGTGTTTGGCCATTGCTAACACAACGTCTGAAAAGATGTGTTGAAATGTTATTAAAACTCAATCAATCAACCGTTCAACGAATATCACGTAGTTTGCCCAGAATTTTATTTTAGAGGCCATTCAATTGAAATGGACCTAATTTATCATTGCAGGTGATGGCTGTGTGTGTACACTGCACTATGCCGTTGAAATGAATACCTCACCAATGTGAAAATCTAACCTAAATATAGGCTAGGTCATGTCAAAATCTATTAACCAATTCATAAAAAAAATATTTTATCATTTTTTCTCTTCCTCTCACAATCATACAAGTGTGAGACTAGATGAAGCGAATACACAAAAACAAACGCTATGCACTTCTTTTGTTTACGCATACTTTGTGATTCATTCTGAAACATGGAGAAACTTTGTCATTGAAAATTCATCGACTAGCCTAATTTACTTGAGAGAGTGAGACGGAGATGCACAAGCAGCTCGGCAGCCAGCCAAAGCCCAACCAAATATCACACTACACACCACACTACTACTATAGAACGGGAAATTGGTATTGTTCCATCATGGCCTCATATTCGTTCCTCTCTATCCATCCGAGCATAACAGATTTTATCGTCTTTTTTGCTTCTTCTTCTTCTTCTTCTATTTTGCGATTGATACTGCACAGTAAAAAAAACGCCCGAAACGTGTCGAAACAATGAAGCAACACAAATTTTCTTCTCACACTCTCTCTCTCTCTCTCTCTCTCTCTCTCTCTGCACTCTTATTGAACTTAAATCAAAATCATTTTTCATCAGCGCGTTCAAGCACACGCTGCAAAAGTCACTTTAAATTTCAATAGTGTATGTCTAATCGAGATCACACTCTGTGCAGACAACACATTTATTTGTATTGATTTTCACGCAACACACAAAAAACAGTGACACTTCCAACACAGAACACCATACTCAGCATATTTCCAAGTGGCGTTCATTTTACACACTTGTTCTCATTCACTCAAGCACCTGAGCGTTTCAAGGCAAAATCACACACAATCCCAACCATCGTACAATTTTCTTGATTTTCATTTGACCCCTTTGCATTTGTATGAAATTTCAATAAGCATTTTCTCAAATGATTTACCATTGTTTTGAGACTTGAATTTATCTTTCGGATGCACCACACAAATAACCAAAAATAAAAAAAACTGAAATTTTCCGTCACACTCGGTCGACCAGACTCTCACAAAACATCAAATTGAAATACAATCGCACACCAGTTGAAGGAAAAGTCGTGAGTGGATTCCGTTTGTACAACGCGAGAGAGTACATATGAAGAAAAACGCTGTACACACAAATTGGGCAAATACACTCTCTCGCAAACACACACACACACACGTATGGATAAGCTCAGAGAGAGAGCGTGTGTCGTGCCAGAATGGAACGAATGCTTTGGCGTAAGAAGGACAGCACAACAAGCCAACAAATGTATGTGTTGTAATTTAATGTGATGTGTACTTGTTCGTCGCAGACGAACCATACAACAATCCATGTGATTTATTGAACTTTGATGAGCAAAATTTTGAATTTTCGCGCAAGCGCCCAATCAAATCGATTCCAATGGTAAAATCAACCGAACCGATGGTTTGATTTCAAGATAAGGAAATTGAATGATAAAATATCACTTAAATTGATTACGAATCGATAAAATTATCACAATTTATTATCTTTTTTATCAATTGTTTTTCATTATCCACTCTTTTTCTCTCATGAAAATCGATAACCATAAATGGGAATCATTTCATTCTATTCATTTCTTCAAACCACATTTCAATTTCATCGACAGATGGCGCTGTTTTCAATCATTGACTTGTCATTGGCGAAACCTTTAAAAGTTCCATCACACATGGAACGTCAAAATAACACATGTTAGACTTGTGACACTGTCAATGTATACTAAAACAGCGTGGTTATTCACTTGCATTCAAATTGAAAATATTTCAATTTTAGTTTACTTTGAATTAAAGAAACAAAATAGTTGTTTTCGAAATGGAAGTGGACAAGGAAAAGCCAAGGATTTATTTAACCGAATATAAAGTGAAACAAGATGCTCACGATTACGGCATGGCTGACGATCTATGGAGTTTTGAGGATTTCAAGCGAAAATTTCGTATTGTTGTTGTACGACAGGCATACAATGAACTTGGCACAGAGCCATTGCTTGAATTTGATTTGATTGGATGTTTGCCGAGCATTGCGAATGCTTTTCGTCGATTGATGTTGAGTGAAGTGCCGAGCATGGCAATTGAAAAAGTTTATATGTACAACAACACGTCAATCATTCAAGATGAAGTATTGGCCCATCGATTGGGATTGATACCGCTGAAAGCCAATCCACAGCACTTTGAATACAAATCGGAAGACGCCAGTGACGATGGCACCGATCAAGACACATTGGAATATAAGTTGAAAGTGAAATGCACTCGCCGTAAAGATGCAAAAGACACCTCACTACCCGACAATTTGTACGAGAATGAAAAAGTTTATTCCGGCATGATCAAGTGGGTGCCAAAAGGTAAACAAGGCACCATGTTCCGTGAAAGTGACGTTGGCCCAGTGCACGACAAAATTTTGATCAGTAAAATGCGACCCGGACATGAATTGGATATTAAATTACTGGCGGTGAAAGGAATCGGAAAGGATCATGCAAAATTTTCACCCGTGTCAACAGCCACTTATCGTCTATTGCCCGAAATCACAATGAAACAAACGGTCACCGGTGAAGATGCAAAAATATTGCAATCATGCTTCAGTCCGGGCGTTATTGAAATCAACGAAAATGGACAAGCTTATGTTAAAGAAGCAAGATACGATTCATGCAGCCGCAATGTTTACCGCTATCCACATTTGGCCAACACCGTTGACATCGCACGTATTCGGAACCATTTCATTTTTACCGTTGAATCCGTCGGCGCCTATCCACCGCACGATATTTTCATTGAAGCTGTTAAAATTTTGAAGAAGAAATGCCGACAGTTGATCAACGAATTGGACGGAACCGATCAACAATAAATTTACTCTAGGAATACCATTCAAATAAAATACTTTTGAAAAATCTTTTTAATAAAATGAAGTCAAAGAAATCATAAATTGGAGTTGCTTATTGATTTATTTATATTTTCATTTCATGTATTCATAGGAAAAAAGAGAAAAAAAATAATCATATTTTCAACTTTGTTTTGAATGCTCAAATATCAATTCATTTAACCGAAAGTCTGTGTGTTTATCTGTCAAAACCGCACATGACAGATGATGAGCGCATGGTAAACTTAACCTAAGAATTTGTACATTGTTTTGATACGCTCAACGTGAATACAGTGCGGCACAAGTGGATGCAAACAAAAAGTTTTTTTTTAAATATTTTTATACGGAATATTTTAGTAAAAATTGAGTCATGGGAAAGCGAAAAATTAGCGTCAAAAGTGACGACGGAGATGAAGTGACTGCAAAATTGCTAAAAACCACATCAAATGATGTTGATAAGAAATTGGGTAAGTAAAATGCATTCAAATCATACAATGTTCAATGTGAATTGTTGGGTATGGATGAACATTCCACCGGAATGAAGTGAAAATTGACCGTTTTTGTCTTGGAATAGAAATAAAAGGGAGGATTGTTTGAAATTCATCAATGAGTTCATTGGTTTTTTTTTATTGAATTAATTTTATTCACGAAAAAAACAGATTCCAATGAAATTTGAATTCAAAGTTGAAAAAAAAAATGACAAAAAGTCATTATTAGACGTGTACCAATCAATCTCCGTTTATAATTTCAGGTTTGGCAGATGAAGACAATGACGCTGCAGTAGCTAACAAAGAAGAAGAATTGCAAGAAGAAACACCACTCCCAGTGTCCAAAAAACCGTTTGTTCCGAAGAAATTCCGTGATGCACTCCGAAGAAATGATTTTATCACAGGTAAACAGCGACTCATTCATTTAAAAAAAATCAATTATTCTGGCATCGACTTTATCTTAAATATTGATTTTCATTGTAGAAATCCGGATTTTCTTGCAAAAAGCGGAGTCAGATGTAACAATAGTTCCACAATTCTTGCAGAGCGGTGGCAAACCGCTTGAAATAGCGCAAGTGCTAAATAAAGTGGATAAAAATGAGTTATTCCATATTTCATATGTGTTCAGTGCATTGCACCTGGTGTTAATGGAGAAAATGAACCAAGAGAATCATTTGAACAGGGATGCGGTTGAAGTGTGTGCGTATGTGTTGAACAATCATCGTGTCTGCATCGAGAAATTGCTCTCGTCCAATTATGCCACGCACAAAAAGTCAGTACTGAAATTGCTAACTGATACGGTTTATTTGGCGCCTCATTTGGGACGTGAACTGCTGACCACATTTAATGTTGCCTTTAATTCGGAAACTCTGCAGCGATTCACAGCACACGATCGAAACGAAGCCAATTTACCAGATGAGGAACGGGTGCGTTCATGCTACATTTATTTCATTCTGTCATTCATCATCGAAGGGAATCATGTGCTCATCAAAAATTTGCTTGACCGCAACGAAATGCTGATGGCACTGCTGTCGGGATTGACATACGATAGCAAAGAGACCGTACTGTTGGTGTTGAACTCATTTTTGAAATTTGTGCTGCAATCGGGCGTCGTTTCGAAAACCAAAAAAGTGCAAGTATTCACCGCAAATGTTGTCAATGAATTAATTCGTTTACTGGAATGGAAAGGCCCGGCATATTTTGCAGCCATTTCACACAAAAAGACTAAGGACAAAGCGGCACAATTCATAAATGTGGATGACCAAAACACTGTTTGTGACACTGTCTATTTGTTTTTGTGCGAACTGTTGGCATCACGAAAGAACGGAATTGCATTCAAAACCCTGGGGCAACGTCAGCTCAAGTCGAACGGCATTCAAAAGGAAGTTTTGGTCAAAATGGATCATTTCATGGGCAATTCATACAAAGCAAACTTGGTCATTGAAATATTGAAGGCATGTCCGGAGCTGATGAAAAAATTCGTTCAAAAACACGCCTCTTGCCTCGACTCCTTTAAAAAGAACAACAATTGGTTTGAAGCAGTGGATTTCTTTGCAAAATTGATTGACTCACTCACACCCGACATTATTCAGTATCAAAACGACAAAATGAACGCAAAGGAAACAATCGAACTAATCAAAGACATTTGTATGGCACCAGAAATATTGCAACAACTTCGAAATAAAAACACACTTCGCAGTGAAAAACTCAACGTTCGCCAGAAATCAACGAATTTACTGTATTTGATGTTCAAACAATGCAATCAGTATCTATTCAAAATGTCCCAATGGAACGTCCATCGGGCCAATGAGTTGAAAAAGATTAAATTCGATTTGATCAACCACATTTTGACACTTTGTCCAACAGTGGAGAATATTCTGCTGTCGTTGCACATGTCACAAGTGGATGAGACGGCCGACAGTGAGAAAATGTTCGAGCATTTGGAGTGCATTTTGGATTTGCTGTTGATAATCACACAATCGATACCATCGTTCATTGACACCACATCATCGGTTATCAACTATATCAAGATTTTGGGACCGATTTATGAACTGAACCGTGAATTAGAGAGCAGCACACGCATTGAATTCAAAGCAGTTAAACTAATGCTGGCACTCGAACCAAAGGCCCTTTCGCCAAAGACGAAACTCTTCGGTCAAATTATCCAGTCATTCTTCAATGTTTACCGCTTTGGGGCACCGAAAGAACGAACTGAAGTGAAACACCTACTTCGAACCGTCTTCCTTAACACGGGCTTATTCGAAAATGGTCCACTTGAGATCGATTTATGGCTGGCCGCCATCGACCACATCGATGAAGATTCACTTACTTCGGTCAGAGAGTTTCTTGTCGAACAAATCAATTCGTACGATGCAAATAATTTCCAAATCACGCAAATCAATTCGCAACTACCGTCGTCGCTGGATAAAAATCTCACCGAAACATTTGAAAACATCGAGAAAGGCACCACCTTAAAAGGATTACTGGATGTGGCCACATTGCGGCCATTCTTCTTGCATGTCGTTCAATCGATTCAACAGCTACCCGACACAAAAGACGACGACGAAGAGAACGACGAAAAGGCGGAAATTTTGGAGTACATTGAAACAGTTGCATTTTATTTATTCCACTATTTGCCGTCACCGGAATCCGTTTATTATGCCATTGAGCCGATAGCCCAGAAATATTCATCGTACATGAAAAAATGGATTGTACAATCGAAAGCGGGTAAATTCCCCAAGGAATTTCCATCGAACTGCTTAAGCAAATTGTATGAATCGTTGATGGAAAATTCGCACGACACACTCGTAAGCATTTTCGATGATCAACTGACAGCTGTCATGGAAACGACCGAACTATCTGACAAAAGCAATGATTTATTGGTGAACCTCAATGGCACTGACTACAAATTAAGTCCAACACTAACGAACGAAACCGAAATTATGGTTTTGAATTACACTTTGATGTTTGTCACCAATCAACGCCATAAAAACAACACATTGACTAATGAACAATGCACGCAGGCCATTAAATACTTGAGTGAATTATGGAAAATACTGGATGTCATTGCAGCCACCGCACGCGAAACAAATGAACACGGTTTCGAACTCAATGAATCAGAGGTGAATCCATCCGTAAAAGCATTAAAGTATGTATTTTCCAACTGTTACTATTTGCTGCAATCGTTTGACATTTGGTCGAAAGAGAGTCAAATCACACGGTTCGTGTATGAAACGGTGAAAAATATGGAGTACACCGAAGCGATGGATGCTATTTTAGTGCATTACCGAAAGAAGATAAGCAATCAAATTGTCGTCTCCGTTGAACAGGGAGCGAACTTATCGGAGCAGACACATGAAAACCTCATCGATTTGCTGAACACGTTCCATCTAGATGCCGATAATTGCTGTGAAATTCTTACAAGTTTGTCGCAACTAAATTACGAGCACTTTGTGACACCACAAAATGAAATTTCTACTTATGCGGGCATCCTTTCGTATGCATTACGTCGACTGGCTGAACTAAAGGAACGTGCTGCGAAATCATCCATCATTGCCGGCATCAGTGAACTGTATGTGTGCCTTAGTTCGAATGTAAACGTCGAAATTAATTACCAAGTAATTGAAGAAGCTTTAGTTGCCTATCTTTCCGTGTACTATCATCATTTGTCTGACGTGCACGACGATTTGTTTGCCGCCATATTCCGGGCGAAGCGATTAAATAAAGCCGTCATCAAATTAGCATGCTTATTGCTTGAACGCAAAACCAACCTTATCGATGGTTTGCCGAAATTAATCGAGGATAATATGCCGAAGAAGGAATTAATCTATCCATTGCTCAATGTGGTTGCCGTCAAGCGTATCGACTTAAGTGATAAACTATTGGCAAAATTGTATGCAGAATACAAAAACGGTATTATGAAAACGATTGAGAAGCCAGCTAAGGCGGCCGTTATTTACAAGGAGAATGTGTTGAGTTCGGTGTTTTTGATTGAAAAGTGTATGTCAATCAAAGAGTGTACGGATTTCCTAAAGAAAACCGTCAACTTCGAAGGGGCCGACGTGTTTCAGTTACAAATCATAAAATCCATCCACTTGAAAGTGTTGATGCACAGCGACAATGTGGATGCGATTCGGCAATCGTACGAAAACTTTTTGGCCATTTTTGTTCGTCTGTTTGGAACGCTATCGAAACACGAACCATTGGATATGAAGAAAGTCAATTGTTTCATTTATATTGCGTATGATTGGACAAAGCTGAAACTAAAACTTTTGCCATCGGCGCTATCGTTAAAGTTGGAATACGAACAAATATGCGGCACACAACTTTGGATACAATTGGGTAAATCATGTTTGAAGCATGGCATGCGTCTACAGAAGGACGATACGAACAAAATTAAGGAAGATGCCGCTGGTTTGTTGAAGATTTTCGCCTATCTTTGCAACGAATTCTATGCGAACGATGCGAACAACGAAGATGCTAAGCTCTTCTTCGAAATGGTGGTGTCCCATCCAAGTTTCTTCGACATAATAACAATGCAACAGAAGACCCAGCTCAAAACTAATTTAGCCTATTTGCTGTATGTTTTGGTGCGAAAAAATGCTGAGGTCATCGAATCGAATCACATACCAATTTTGTTGGCCGGTTACCAAGGCAAGATGTCATTCAGCGATCAATACATTTTGGCCATATTACAGATGTACGAACGGAACGAGTGTGATATGCGTAAATATCGACCGTTTATTTTTGGTGAGAATGCCTTGAGCTATTATTCGTTGAATTCAAGTACGAAACCGTCGTTGTTGCAAGAGCCACAGGATCAAGTGATGGCCCTTTTTGATGCCGATATTTCCGAAAATACATTGGTTAATTTCCCCGTTTGGCGTAAATTGAATGTCATCGACCAAGTGCCCGCTGTCGACTTCACATGCCACGGAATCATCGGTCAAGAACATTCAAACAATGTAAGCATCGCAAAAAGTACCGTGGAAAAATTAGTCGAACTTGGTGAATACAAAAACCGCATCGATCCAACTGTGCTCACTGAATCGGCACGAAGAGATGAAACATTCGAAAATGTATATGATCCCGCCTTTTTAATACCATTGATGCAAATGGCATTTGCGCCTGAAGCCTGCACCAAACCACTTCGACCCGCTCAAAATGGAATGCTAGCCATTACATTCGCCTGCCTATCGAGTGCGGACAAAGATATGCGATTGGCGGCCGCAACTGCATTTCAACGCTATCGCAACCACATGGAAAGTGCACGTTTTGTCGATAACAAACTCTGGATCCATATCTTTAATGCGATTCGTAACGGTGTGCAAAACCTTACGCTTGAAGCACAAAAACGTAAAAAGCATCGCATACCACGCATACCATACATTGCCGGTGTATTCTTCGCTCGTACCATCAACACACTAATGAATCCGCTCAGCGAACTTTATCGTCCGTTGAGTACATTTTTGTTGATAAAAAATTCGTTTGACTTTATGACGGTGCCGGAATTTAATGTACTATTTCATAGCCCCGATGTTAACCACAATATCCATCGCAGTTTTATTTTGGATGTGTTGCGAGACGGCCTTAAAACAACCAACGATTTCAATGTTTTAATTTCAAATCACATTTTCAAAGCATTGCTCGGCTACTATGGCGCCCCAACAACCACACGTGAACGTAACATTCAAATTTTAACGGTCGTAAATGCAGCCGCAAAAATTCCAAAATCAGCCAAACTTCTGATTGACGTCGTTGGCATTTTACCCTGGTTAAGTAATGTGGCCGACAACATTGAATTCTTTCAATTCGACTTTTTGGATATTTTCTGCACGATTCTCAATAATTTGTACAATTCGGTTGCCGTAAATCGAGATGAGTATGGAACGAATACGGTGAATAGCATTGAAATTCAAATGCTACATATTCTATTGAAAATCTGCCCGAATCTATCGCAACGTATTGCGGAAGTCTCCTTCGTACGCTATGTGAATGTATTGAAATCAATCGCTGTGAAGAGAAATCGATGTCAATTCTTGAGCACCGAAAATATTACACATCTGATCAAATGTATGGCTGGATATGTGAACACTGATTTGGCATGGGATTGCAATTTCCTAATGGAAAACACACAGGCATACCTAAGCACTGAAGGTAAATTCGAATATAACCGCAAACTCAGGGAATACGGTACGCTGAACGAACAGACGATTTTCATTGTGTCGAGCCTCCGTGAAATCATCATTTGCTGGCAAAATGCGAAACATTCGTGAAAACCTAATTAATCATCGTTGAATCATATGCGATTACAGTCAAAACGAAATTCCCATTGCTAAATAAATGACATGATTTATATTCAGAATGAATAAAAATAACACGACACAAATCAAGCAAAGTTAACGCAGAAAATGGAACGTAAATTTAAACGGAAATGAAATGAAATAAATTGTTGCGATTTTTTCCTCTCTGAATCAAAATTCTTTGTGTGTTTTTTTTTTCTCTTTAGGTTTTTTTATTTGAAATGAAGGGAAAAGCCTAGGGGCTAGGAAAAAGTTGTGAGATTCACATAGATTCTCACATATTCATGCGTTCGTGGCTTTGTTATTGTTGTTGTACACTCACTGCGCTGTGAATGTCTCGTATACACAATCACACAAATTCACAAATATTCGTACGGATTCGTCTCAAGCGCTTGTGTTCTTACCCCCTAGGGAAAAGCGTATGAAATTTGATGAAAAAAAAATGCAAAAGATAAATAAAAATTCATGAAATTGAAATTAATACTTTGCACCTGTCTTGCTTCAATCTCTTACCTCGCTCCATCTCGGTGTGTTTGTGTTTTGAGTTGCTTAAAGAGAGAACTTTTTGATTGAATCAAACAAACGAACGGAACATTCAATGTATTCTCTTTGGTTGGTATTATTTTAAAGTTTTTATCGAATAACCAATAAGAGTTCTTAATTGCTATTGACTCACTTTCCCCTTTCCATTTGTCTTAAAGGAACCGCTTTATTGAACTTTACTAGTTAAACATCTCCTTGTTTTGCATCATCATTACGAAAATTTCGAAGATAAATAAAGAGTTAGCTAGAGTATTTCCATTGGAAACTTTAAACAAAAAGAATTGTATCTATTTCACCTGAATCGGTCGAATATACAAGTTGCGTTGGGTTATCGATTGCGTGTCTCAAACTTGAAATTCACGCAAGACTGCAAAGATGAATTTATATAAGAGAAGAATAAAAACTCCTTCATTCATAAAGCATTGCATGGGGCCGTTTTGTGTGTGGGTGTCGCGGCGTCAGTGTTTGGCGTCGGTTGTGCGTAATATTTGAGGTCTGTTTCAATTATAATTAAAATTAAATATTTACGTCTCGGCAGGCGTTTAACACAAATCCTTTTTCACTTCTTTCGAACGTTGAACGTCGAGGGCGGAATTGTTGGAAAAATTTCGACAAAATAATCCTAAGGCAACAATTGTAATCTGTGTGAAACCGGTTTCATTCATTTTAATGGGCTTAGCAAGAATGTCGCTGCTGCGCAGATATTGCGTACGAAAAATTCAAATTAAACATTCACGATTTGGTAACAAGGTCATGTATCTAGCGAGAAAAAAAGGTAAGATGTTGTTGGTCATGGTGTAAAAATGGTCGATATGACGAGAGCAAAGAGAAACAATTTGTAGTTTCTATGAAGGCAGTCAATACTCGCGGAAATTTTCCTTTTTTTCTGGTTTCCCTTTCATCGGTCACGAGAGATGGAGAGTATGAGACAATACAACGAAACTCCATCAAAATAAAAAAAAAGTTCTCACAGCTGGCCTTGGTTCGCATTAAATCAGGAAGAAGAAGAGATAAGTTTCGTTCGCGTTGAAAATGATTATTTTGAACTTTTTCGCGTAAGAAAGAGTACATTTATTCTGGCTTGTGCCATCATCATTACGAACGACAATAGCTTGGTTTGCTCATCTTCATTCTGAAATAATATTTCACAAAATGTAGCTGTGCGACTTTGTGTGTTTGTGTGGCCACCGTGTGTCACTGCTGCTTAACCACCGCACTGAATGACACAAATTACATAAAATTCATTTATTTAAAACCATTACCAGCCGCTACTTTCATCCAATTTTTGCAACTCATTGTAATCCACATGGAGCACGCGCGCGCACTCGCTCGCTCACTCGCCTCGACATATTTTCAACAGACATTCAAAATTTAATGTATTACCAACGACGACGAGAACACCAACATACCACCACATTCCCATTCCCATTCCCCCAAAAACTGTGCGCTTTGTGGCATTTTTATGCTCGGTTTGTCATTGTAACTACGGAATTTTGTGTGCACAATGTAAATAAACAATTGTGAAATTCCATGAAAATCTTCTCTTTGACATCTAAACAATGTTTTACTCGGCTATTTCTGTTTCTGCCAGATAGACAGATAGAAAAAGAGAATGAGACATAGTGACACAGAGAGAAAATGCACTGAAGACAGTGGGTATGAGGCCAAAAATTGCCATATCAACCGCAACAAATTACATTTCTCCGTTCGCACACAAATTTGTGATTTAAAGTCGATTTTCGTTGTGTATCGAATTAAGGGCAAGAGATTTGTCGTATTGTAAACAGTAAATTGTCCGTCATCATCGTTAAAAAGAAATATACGGCTTTTTAATATTTGGCTTTTTTTTTATATGTGTGCGGTGCGTGCAAGAGAAGATGCTCACGGCATATAAATATCTTTATTGGATTTACGAGATAAACATTCACACAATAAAATCGGAAATTTATTGTACGGCCATTTTCAGCAACAGAGTTTTCTCCTCACTTTGCCTCGTCTCACGAGCGTTTGTGTATCAGTCTATATGTGTGTGGTGTGCTGGAAAATATGTTGTGCACTTTGTTACCTCCCAGGGCTTTGAATAGTATTTTGACGTAGTTTGTACGAAGAGAGTAGCGAAATAAAACAAGACACAGCAATTTATTTTGAATAAACATAAAAATGTTCAATTCGAAATTCAAATTGCAGTTCTCATTTGGTATGTTCCGGTTTAAATCTGGGAATTCGTTTAAATGTGCGAATAAAATCCGAGACTCATCGCATTCCAGAGGCAATATTGGGGAAGTTTTATTTATATTAAAATGGGATGTTATTAAAATGTGACATATCGTTGCCACACTTAAGTGCACATGTTGAAAAACACTCCCAAAAAAAAGAAGAAAATAAATACTATACATTTTCCACTTCATTCACAACTGAAAGAATGGAAGCAAAAATGGGAAAATCATTCGTTATATATTCAAAAGCTTGAGAGAAGTAGAAAAAAAAGAACTGTGAATTGATCGACTGCTTTACGAGTCATGGATTTCATCAACAATGTTGGTCCAATATACAAAAGAGTCGATACTGCATTTTCATTTCAATCATCCTATGAATCCCATGGAAAAATCGTTTGTTTGGTTTTCGAATCATCTCTTTTTTGCAATCATACAAAATCACATCCATTTCAATTAGACTTTTACAACACACCGAGAGAGAGAGAGAGATAAAAGGGCAGGAATATTCCTCCCCAAAGACTTTCATCATCCGCAATCGAATCAATTTTGCAACTAAGGAAATGGGCGAACGAATATTACCTTGAATATTGAGCATAAGAAGTTCCGGCTATACATAACGTTGATGGATGTACAGGAAAAAATTAACTGAACAAACAAGATTCTGAACGAAATCCGTTCGCCATGCATCATGTACGAAGGTGTGCCGTTGAAATGGTTTTATTTAAGAGACTTCTATCGGTTGTTGCCATAGCAAGCATCACTGACCACCTAACGGTGTATAGACTATAATGTAAATTCTATTGAATACTGAAAATACTCAATCAATTTTAATAACGAAGTCTTTATCGTTTTCGTTGTGCTCCTCTTCAACCATATAGCTTGGTTAGGTGGAACGCAACGGAAATTACGGTCGGAGGTAGAACAAGAGTGTTGAGATTGAAGTCCCGTCGAGGGAAAAAAGAGATTTGTTTCCCTCAATTTCATCTTTCGTAATAATAAAAGCGCGGCTCTCTGTGGAACGCAAAAAATGTTACCTTTCATCTCTCTTTCGTTGCTCTCGTGCGTTTTCCACGAATCGAGTGCTATATCGCTTTTAGCGGTTATTCTATGAGCATTTTTTCCTCTTCACCGTCATCTCGCGAACGTTTCGTTTTTCACTAGAAATGCGTTGTATCGCTTTCTGCGTTCACCAACGTACTTTTTCGTTCTCATGAAAAATCTAACTAAATGAAAGAATATTTTCATCATCATTTTGTGTTGTTGAATTTTTTTTTATGATTCGACCCCTCTTCCAGTGCACACTTCCGAATCTCATCCTGCACATTCACACAGCTCAAACGAAAAAAAAACCAATATATTCGTGATGGTTGATTGCATTTAATTTAGCGAGGATAATTCGGCTCATAAAAATCATGTGCACGATTCTTTGTGTCGTAACACAGTCTTATAAAAGGACTATAATAATGACAGCATGATATACAAACCATTTGATGTTGAACATCGCACCGGATGATTGCAACGATTCTTCCTCTTTTGGTCGCACAGCAATTCCGAGAATGATGCACAAAGCGAAATTTTACTGCTTTTAAAACTTGATTAAATTCATTGAATTGTGGAATATTGTGCTGCAGATTGTTGAACGAACGATGTAGAATCTAGAGATGGGTGACTGGGTCATGCGTGCTCCATAACACATAGAGAAAAAAAAATCTGATTTAACGGCATGGAAACAACAATGGAAAAATTGAAACATGCATAAATAAGAGGAAAGAAAAACGATAGCCAAAGGAAAGAAAAATCACGCATTTTTTACACGTACATTTTTTACGGAGATATTTCCACTAAAAGGATCTGCATTTATTAGAATCAATAATCATATTTCACATTTTACAATAATATTCTCTGTTGCTAATGGATAATTTCTTCTTTTTTCTGTTTTTTTTTTCTTCATTCTTCTGCATTTACCAAAAAGTTCCACCACGTTGTTTTGAACTCGATATACAACTGAGTGTGAGTTTGTGTGTGTGTGCGTTAGTTTATTGATTTTCCATTTAAGCTTCAATTATGAAATAACTAATTTATAATAATAATTAAATTCCGATTCCATGAATTCGATACAATTTGCTGCTAACTCTGCGAAATAGTTCGATACTGCGTTAAATTATTTAATGGCTTCTCCATATTGTGTGTCAAATGATTTAATTAGATTTTACGGTGTTGGTTTCGTAAATATTCCATTGAATGTTGTGTGTGAATGTGACTTTTCCTATTTATTTGTTCGTTGGCAACAAACAAGTTGGAGTGTTTCAAATGGCTGGAAACTTTTTTATGACTGTTGTTATTTTTATACCAATCTTGAGGCAATTTTGCGTCGACAATTTTCAGGTTGCTTGATAAATGTTGAGTTATCTCTCAATTTAAGTTTGCATCAAGATTTGAAACTAATGCCAACGCAAACCGAGCAAAGTGTAAATGAGCAGTAATCACAACGAAAAATTCATTTGTGTTTTTATTCTGGCGTTGACCAGAAAATATGTATGCAATAACATCTTAATATTTGTTTCTGTTCGTGCACATCATTTGGTTGTGCGATTAAATTAAATTATATTCATTGCTTCTGGATATCTGCTTGTTTCGTTTTATGTATTTGGCGTTTCTTTTACGACCGCTTTTCTTTCCGAGGCAAGACAACAAAAGGCGAATACAGATTAAAGGATAGTCGACCAAATAAAATTGAAATAAACGTACTGGAAGCGATTATGCTATACATATATATATAGCGAAACGATAACCATTTGAAGAGAGTGGAAAACACCAACCGAAAACTTGGTAATGAAAAAAAAGAACGAAAAACCGAAAAAAGCTTCAATTCGAAATACCAAGGCAAATTTCTCAACATGAAAAAGGATCTGGGGTGCTTTCTGTCTCGTTGGCTTGTTTCGGTTTTTCTTGCATTCTTTTCGAACGCACGACCATTCTAATGTGATTAATTTTCTTGTGATTGCCGTTATAAACGCTCAAGAAAAGCTCGCTTCAAGAGATACGCACACCAAATTAAATAAGCAAAACATCTTTTTCTCTTGTGGACTCTCCCTCAATGGACGCCTATTTCTCTTACTTTTCTTCTTTTTTTCTCATTGTTTGCATTTCCTTCCACGTTCCTTCTTCCGCACTTTCTCTCTTCGCCCGTCTGTTGGTCCGTTTTGTCTTTGATTTAAGCTACTCGGTCGGCGCATGCAATCGACATTCGAAGGGGCAAATTAACGCCGGATCGTTTGTCAAGTGAATTATGAACGGGTCACAATCAATAAAGATCATTATCAAAGCGACCGAAATGCTGTTGCAATGATAAAATTTGCCTATGTTCTTATTTGAGCACATGTTTATGCTATATTTAAGCGACATCTTGACGCTAAACGCTGAACTATGAAACTTCTATATAAATATACTGCCAACTATCAATGACAGCAACCAATGACAGCAACAATAGAACGTATTTGTATTGCGAAATACTTCCACCTTGCAGATGGCGCCAAACCAAACGTCATTCTAGTCATTTTTCTCATTGGCTGTTGGCTCATTTAATTTTGCGTTCAGTTGAATCAATACCCACCACTACTTTCCCCTTGTATGTGCCTACAAAATTTTATTTATGTTATGATCCAATAAACTGTTTCGCCTATCTTTCACACCGAACGTAAACAATAACAGCCAAAGAGAAGAAAAACCCATCTCCTTCGCTAAATGCGATGTTGTACATCGAAATGTTATACATCATAATTAATGCGCCTGTTTTAATGGATTCCTTATTTTCTCAAAATTAATAAATCAATGCAAGTACCATGGCTAAAGATACACTTTTGCGCAACACACAAAGTGTGATGTGTACAGGAGAGGAAAAGCTGAATGAAAACGTTGTTGCCAATTGTGTACATAATTTAGTTTTGTCACAATAAGGAAAAAATAATTAATTGCAATATCGTTAGAAAGCCCATAGTAAAAGTTTGCCAGAGTCATCACGTCGCATAGCGTAGAGTATATAAAAATCTGAAAGTGTATAAAGGGCTTTGTGTCCCATTACAAAAATGAGCCATTTTGTCTCTTCGTAAATGGAAATTGTCATCAAACACACAGATATGAATGAAAATGTAACATTTCCTTTTTTGTCAGAGAGAAAAATCTCTCCCAGTAGATTTGAGACCTATTCACTGTTCACCCTAATATCATTTTTATTTGCCTTTTATTTTCCAGAACTTTCCTGATTTTATTTTCTCTTTTTTTTCTCCTTTTATGAATGATTATTACTACATCGACATCACACATCGGCTAAATGATGAAAAGCATTTACAGAATAACTCGTTAATTTGCTTTATTGATTGATATCACTTGTGTATGCAAAGTTTTTTTTTCTTTTCATTCGCGAATGAATACGAATTCATTGTAATGACTCCAACGGCTCTCTTCAGCATCGATGCCTGGTTTTAGTTCAGCAGCTGGAGCGGATGTGCCGCTACCGCAGCAGCCAACCAACCGAAAACCTTGCTCATGTAGCATATCAAAAGCCTGTTCAATGAATTGATGCTAAAAAAAGGGGCAAAATCACACACAAATCAAAAGAAAATCTTCAACATCTCTCGAAGAAACCAAAGAAAAAACATTTACCTTTAGAAAAAAACGTGAAGTGTATCTGTGTGAAGTGGGGCCACCATGATCTGGGTCTCGTGATTCGTTCAACGTATCACCGAAGACATCTCGACACAAATTGACACGGCCACAAATCAAAATACGTGACAATTTTCTATTAATAGATTGAAATTTGAATACGTCATTTTTTTATTATTGATCCTATCGGAGGCGATGATTCAATTCATTACCTGAACTTAACGTCAGCCAACCCGTCTTTGCCAAACTGAAACGAGCCTCTATACCCGATGGTGATACAGCCATTATGTGTATCGTTTAATGTGTGCATAGACTGAATTAAGCCATCAAGCTTAAAATATTCGGCTTCACGTTCAAGACGTCGCTTTTCACGAAAACCATCTGGCAACTGGATCGTATCATCACGCAAATAATCCAAAATAAAACGAAATAAAACGCCATCACGATCTAACACAATCCGACCTTTGCCATCCCTGATGAGCGACGATGATGATTGATTATCTTTGTCAAATAATTCGGCGAGCCGAGAATTCTTATCACTTGTTAATGTTTTTCGCGTCGTTGTATAATGTACACCACCGACATTCAACTCAATTACATCGTCGATATCAGCACTCATATTGTAAGTCATTTTATTTTTATTTTCTCCTTTGTTGCTGTTGGTTTCGTTCTCTATTTTTTTTTGCTCGTTTCACGCGTTGCAAGTAAATAATAATAGAGGCTCGTCAATCTTGTGCTCACTCTGATTTTATTAGTATTGTTGTTGTTGTTATTTATTCATATAATCCCAATTGCACTAACAAAAGTCGTAATCATACACGATTAAATGGCAGTAAACGTTCGGTTCGTTCAGTGTGCTTGCCAATTTTGAGAGTCGTTTATGTACACACGTATGTTTATTCGGAAATCAATAGCACAAAAGTTTTATATTCATATGGCAGAGGCTGAAAAAAATGCGGTCCCTTTATGATATAAATGGAAAATGGTATAGTGATGTGGCACGTCAGGCAAACTGCCGTTGATTGCACTCAAGCTCCGAAATCGGTTAAACAAATATAAATGGATAACGCAAAAACCTTCGATGCTAATATATTTTACTCTCGCTCTGGTTTCACAATTTGCGTTCCGGATTAACATATGAAGAGAACAACGGTAACTCTCCTTTTTATGGCTTAACTTTCGTTTTTCGACTGAATTAGGAAAAAGAACTGTTCCGAAGTTTTTATTTTTGTGTGTTCTCTTGCTATTTGCACTGAATCACTGGATGCGAGTTTTGTGTGTATGTTTATATGTGGATTGCCTTTTTTGTTGCTGCTCGATCGGGGGAAATTCAGTTTCACATATGCAACGCTAACGGCGAAACACACTTGTTCATTTATTCAACACCTGATTTTACTGAGCCAACAACAATGCCCTGTTACTTCACTAAAAATTCATGTATTCAAATGTAAAAGATTGTTTTTTCGCTGTTTCGAATCGATATTTTTATTTTCGTTCTGCTTCGATTGTTCGTTGCGTTCGTTGTTAAAAACGGATTTTCGGTGATGGTAATTAATTCGGTTCGAGCTGTCGGAAAAATCGTCTGCGAAAGGTCAGCTGATTGCTTACGAATGCTGGAGCAAAAACGCGTGCTACTCAACGAGCTTGCACAGTGCGAATGAACTGAGTAGGCTCATCGACTTCGACTCCAAGTCACAATGGATGCTGTTGTGCTTACGCTCGTGATAGTAGTGACGACGACGACGACGACGATGATGATGATGATGATGATGATGATGATGTGGATGCAAACGGGAAAAGCCCCAGCCGTGGAACATTATATCTGCTCCTATCCACACGCACACGTCCGAAACTCAATCAAAATCATTTCCATTCGCTTCCGTCGTTGGTGTAAGGCACATGAATCCGATGTATGTGTGCAAAAAGCTTCGCCTCGAATTTTTGCATGTATTCAACGAGAGAGTGAGTGTATAAGCACACCACACTGTTGCTTCATGCCGTTATGGTACTTATTCGCACAGTTGAGCATCTTTTTTTTCTGCTGCTACTTTCGATATATGTATATCGAGAGTGGATTTAAATATGAATAGCGCGATTCCATCGGAAAATTGTATGAGTGTAGCTTCGCGCATACTTTCCATTTTTTTTCCCTTCATAATTTCAAACTGCGAAAAACAATTACCGGTATACCTAAACGATGACGCTGGTGATTTCTTATCAGAATTTTTCGAAGGCAATAACGAACTCAATAAAAAGAAGAGCGACGCATTTTTTCTTTCGTTGATTTCGCGAACAACACGGTAAGATACTCAATATATGTAAAGTTCATCAGTTTTTTTTTATTATTATTTGGGTTCGTTGGTTTTTGTTATCGCAAGGGTATGGGTGTACATGATAAACTGCCTCAAGCAGTATTAATGGTGAACGATATGAAACAACATATTCCTATAAAATGACAATTGTTCTAAACTTTGATCCAACCAACGATACTCCCCTATCGTAAATTACATCTTGACCTAGAATGCTCACGTTGAATGAACGAAAAAACGCAAGCAAATCATTTGAATTGATGCATTGCACACACACATAGAGAGAGAAAAAATATATAAGCTGCCAGCACTTGAACATGTAACAGGCAACATGAAGAATGGTGGGTATCATCAAATGTTTCTTTTTTTTTCATTATGCCACGTGTGTCTGTGCGTCTGTGGTAAATTTAACGTAATATTTTCTTATTTCCTTACCATTTTGGTGCAGCTGATGGTACATCTTCATTACTCTTAATACGTTTACGATTCCGACCTTTACCTAATCAATTTGCATCCGCTTAAAGTGTACATACTTTTCTCTTTTTTCCTTGTCTTGTTCCATGCATTTCTTTCATCTTTTGACCATTCTATTCGAAGCGGAAGCTTTTAATTTTCTTTAAGAACAGCGCCAAGATTTAAGTGAACGCAATAATCTTATTCATCGTGACCGTTGCGCTTGAAAATCATGGGAAATTACCTCATAACCTTTGTTTTTTTTCGCATCAAATAAAATATAAGCTATTAGGAAAAGTTTTCGTAACACAACAATAGCCGTCTTTTAACAGCTCAATTTGGATGAGAAAAAAAAATTCCCCTTGAAAATTTAACCACAATTCAAACTGCTTTTCAATTCTTTTTTTTCCATCGGAGAATATTGAATTTTGTTCAACTTCGGCTCAACAAACTTCAGTATTTCAAAGGGAATGTCGACGTTGATTTATGTTCGAAATCGCTCTTTCAAATGCGAGAGCACCAAGGGGGTGGACACAGTCTCCTAACGTACAAGTTTTGACGAATTTGTCTCATTTTGCACCGAGTAGTTCCGAGTACATCCATGCATTTTAAATGTAAACTCGAAACTACTCAAAACACTCAGTTGACTTTGACAGTTCTCTCTGTGTACTACACTTGCGGGCCCACATTCACTCGAAATAAAAACGCCCTTTCAGATTTAAGCCTCTTTCCAATTTCGCCATGATAAGAATAGACAACATCAAAAGCGGTTTTGAAGTGCGATTTTCGAAAGCGCATTCAGAAGACAGATTTATCAGCAGATAATCATCAACTGAAGGGACAATCAATCTTAATTCATCACTGAACATTGAACAATGCCACAAATTCGTCGATTGAATTTCGAAGGTCGACAATAACAACAGTTGATGATGACTGGGTCATAACATTTCAATGTTGCTTTTGTTGACATCACGAATTCTATTTTTCACTTTGGCATTTCAACACCTCGACTTGATTGCAAAATATAAATACAACATCGCAGAAAAAAGCTAATCAACACGAGACACTGCGATAATAATTTTGTTATTACGTGTTATTACGTATTTGGCTCTTATAATAATTGGGCCACTTAGATTGAGTGTTTTTTTATGACAACAGCTAAATGATATAGATATTCTGTTTAGAATAAATTGTTTGAAATCATTTTTTTACATTACTTGTTTACTTTGCATTTGATGAATTGGAATCACACGTCAAAATATGCACAACATCAAAATAGTTTCTGCATGGATAAGTCAATTCTCGTATGTGCGTAAACAAACGGCTATTTCCGGTGCTTTGTTCGACTAATCAGTTTACTTCAAATGCAGCATCATTACTTTTGCTTATCACGACCAATTCAAACAAATAAATCGCAATCAAATTTACTTATCGCATCGTAGCTCATGTATGCACTGCCACTGGAGATAAACAATGACGATTATTAACGCGTAAACAATTTAATTCAGTTTCAAATCAATCGCGCAACACACGAGCTACGCGCACCAAAGACATCGCAAAAGTTTTCAATTGAATTTCGTTTTCATTATCGGTGCAAGTTTTTGTTGCAATTTAAATTGTTCGAAACATTCCGAAAAATGACTAACCACGAAATTAACGTTCAAGCCAAAAGTGTTCAAGATTTTTCTGATCTTAGTACGTTATTTTTTTTTTCTGAATGAAATTGAATAGTATGGTTGGAATTCTTCAAAGTTTGAATTTTAACAAATATTTTTAAAAAAATCTTCCTATCACTGATGAATTCAAAACGAAATTCGTTTAGTAAAATGCACAGGGAGTTAGCAAGACGCACGTTATAAGGTTTTTTACTTCGATTTCGAGGAGTAAGAGATATGGATATATAAACTTGTACTCACCATCTCTTTCGATGGAAGTCCAAAACCTTATAACGTGCGTCTTGCTAACTCCCTGTGGTAAAATGTCAATTGTTTTCCATTGTTTTATGTGAATTAGATGAAGAAGCACAGGAATTGATAAAGACGGCAATCAAAGCTAGAAATTTTGCATATGTGTACGTGTGTCATATTTCTTTGTTTAACTTCTTCAAGTTGTTGTTTTTTTCACTTTTTGAAGTTGAATGTTGTTCTTTTCCTCCCAAACAGTCCATACAGCAATTTCAAAGTTGGTTCCGCAATTCGTGTGGCTGATGGCACAATTGTGAGCGGATGCAATATTGAGAATTCAGCATTCAGCCCGACAATTTGTTCGGAAAGAACGGCAGCGTGTAAGGCTGGCCATATCTAATTCAAAGCCATCGCTGTTATAGGTTATCAAGAAAGATCTTTTACGACCCCATGTGGTGTGTGTCGCCAATTTTTAAGCGAATTTGCAAAAGATGATATTCCCATTTATGTAACCAAACCAGAGCCATCACGTGTACTCAGTCACTAATCTACGATCTCTATTACTGATGGGTTTCTGTGGATTACCATCCGATTTCGCGTAATTGCGGGTTTTAAAGCGCATGCAATATGCGTTTCATCTTACTATAAAGCTATTATGTTCATCAATTTTTTGATAAACGTTAATGTCATAATAATAATCCGTTTTGTAAATGTTGATTTTGTATTTCTTACTCTCAAGTAAATAAAGCTAAAGTTCTTAGTCAAATAAAAAGTTATAATCGATGTAAATGCCTCTTTGAAATCGGCTTTCCAATTCCGTGTTATGTTCAATGTAAATATTTGGGCCCTTTACGCTGTAACGCTCGTCGGATGGTGCGTGAAAAATTGTTGTTGTTATGCGAGGAATTTATATTTATTGTTTTTTTCCACTCTTCGATTATGCGGTGTGTGAGTTTTCGCTGTTTTTTTCTGTTTGGCGAGAAAAAGTTCGCATTTCTTTCAAATTGTTCCTCTTCAGTGAACATAAATCATATAGAATACGTCGGTCTATTTCTAATTCGAGCCATTCGAATGTGATTCAACGCAACATAAATGGTTCGAACTTCGAACGGTGTTTATTATCTACAGCAAATAATTTAATCGTACCTTTTAAAATGATTCGGATGCACATTTTGATACGTTACATCATATGCTATTTAAAGACACATTTGTGATTTTTGAATGGTGAGTACGGTTCAACTCGAAACTCATTCAATATATTAATTCGGTGAAATAACATCATGTACAAATCCTAATGGATGAATACTTTTACTTCGTTTCATTTCAAATAAAACTCGAAAGATAAAAACTTCTCAAAAGTTGATAGCGTTGCTCGAAATTCTAGGCAGTATCTAAAAATTGCGAAACTTCCGACATCTACTGAATTATATCTTTGGGGACAATTTCATAGACGGTATTCTTTTTTAATGCCCTTTGAGACTTGAAATGGATGAAAAAGTCGTATATTTAGTAAAGCCAGCACGTTTTTTACCTTTGAATGTGACTTGATGACTATTATGGGATTACCAATGGACGATTATAAAACACGTAATGAGTAGAAAACAACTTGGATGATTTCATTTATCGTTTTTTATTGAAAAAAAAATGCAATGTGACTGTCATCAGAATCCATAGATTTACAGCTTTTTTTGCCAATAATTTGTGATTTTTTTATACCTTGAACGTTAAGAATGTCGACTTCTGCTACGTAAATTTAAGACTGAGTAGTAATCCGGTATTTAAATGCAGGAGGAAAACTAAGGTTTTGTCAGAAATGAAATACGAGAATTTTGTGGTCCCATTTCAACATGAGTAGCGAGTAATTTCAATCAAGTTTAAAAAAACACTCAGATTGAATTGAAGTCCTTCTAAAGCTACATTAGCACGTAAGCTCATATTTGTTTGTGGAAAATTTCACGGCAGTTTTTGAAAATTTTAACAATATGCCAAAATTCATGTAAGCGTGAAATTTGCATTTATATCACACATGTGCGCTCCCTCCACTCCATTGCTACAAATTGAATCAAATACAAAAAAAATGCCAATAACATAAACAGCAGCACCGCCAACAGCAATGAGAATAAAACCATATCTTTAAATATTTGCCATTATTGACATTATGTCAATGACATGCATTTATTTTTAGAACTTTTTTTATTTGCACAATCAACCTTGAGAGTAATCTACAACATAGTCGAATTTCTTTTGTAATATTTAATTCAACAATTTAGATCATTTTGTCATATTTTTTTACAATTTTTTTTAGACGAATTTGTAAAAAAGTTTTACCAAATCTTAACATGTGAATGTTTTCACTTCGTTTCACTTTTTATTTTCAAATACTACACACAAATTACCGATGTACACTTTTCGATGACTTTCTTTGGAATTGACTTCTGCTGTTTCAAGCTATTATTGAATTACGGTTTGTTATTTAAATGTTCCGTAGAAACCGCGTGAGAGTTCAAATCAAAATGTTCAAGCATACAGTCAGCGGAAAGTAGGTTACGGAAAAGTTCAACTTACCACGGTTTTGATGTTGGGCCCTAGAAATTGTTTTCAAATGTCAAATGCAAACTGAGTTCAGAAATAAAACTCACATATTTTCATTTTTTAATCGTTTCTTTATTTTAAAAAAAAATTCAATGATGTTCGTTCAGCAACATTAGATTTTATAGCTTGTATATCGCCAACGGTTGATGATTTCTTTAACTGTGAACCTGAATAAACTCGAGGCTTCCCTTCGGTTTTTATTCTGTTTTAAATTTCGGTTTATTATATCTTATCGCTTGCAAATCACCATGACTTTTGACCGTCTAAATTATTTCCCGTTTGCGGAACTATGTATTAAATTGGAGTAGTATGTTTTTCGTATTTAAGTCATGTAAGAGTAAAACTTCTATTACATCGTGGAATATCTAATGGTGAGGTGAAATAAACTCGTCGATAGAGTGCAATCACTTCAAATATTGATGCGTTAAACAATTTTTATTGTTTGTGTGTGTGTGTTGTGATGGAAATCAAGATAATTCAATAAAATTCAAAAAAAAAATGCATTGGGAAGTTTTGAGACAATAACAGATTGTTCATTTTTCATTCAAGATTCCAAAAAAGATTTTGGTCGCCAATGATATTGCATAAATATGGAAAACTGACTTTTTCCTACATGCTTCAAAAACATCGAAAAATACAGGTCGACTTAAGAAGAAGTGTTGAAGGAGATAGAAATATCATCCAACTTGTTTTTACATTTAAAAAAAACGCCAGCAAAAGTAGTCACACTTTTTTCAATTCGACTCTTTATACGACGCTAACCGACTTAAATCAACAAGAAAGAGAGAGGGAGACAGAGAGAAAGAAAGTGTTTTTTTTCTAAAAGATTCTATTTTGTTGATTGGTTTTTTCTTCAAACTCTCCACTAAAAGAGTGCCTATGATAACTTACAAGTCTTTCAATTGTATTGAGCGATCACTATGATCGACTTTTCTCAATGTGTTTTCTTTCTTTTTTTTTCTCTTCATAAAGATGTATTATTAAAGTTTACGTTGAAAGTCCATGTTGAAATATTGTCAAATAGAAAATAACCACCAAAGCATTGTACAATTTGCACAGAGCGTCGAATAAACCGGAACACCGTTTTTGTTTTCATGTGATCGTATCAGTGCCATTTGTTGAAATGTGTCAATGCTTCGGTGGTGATTTCAATATTGAAAATAAAATGTTTATGTACTTATCAAATGTGTGTTAACGGTTGAATTGTGATCTGGTTTTTGACCCGGTTTGGTTTAGTTTGGTTTCATTTCATGTTGCTTTACCACATCAATTGACTTAATACCGCCTACGTTTGTCATCCCGCCGGTCTCGATCTTTTCGGTTACGTGAATCGTCTCGTCTCGGCTTGTCTTTTTCGCGCGGAGCACTACGGCGTTTTTTATCTCCTCTTTCGCGCGACTCTTCGCGACGTTTTTCTCTTTCGCGTCGCCTCTCTCGCTCTTCGGCCTCCTCGCGTTCTCGCTCTTTTCTCATTGTCTCACGCCGTTCGATGGCTTTCTTGCGCTCTTCAACCCGGACAGCAATCTGGGGTGGTCGAATTTAATTCATCAATAACCATTATTTGACAGTAATTCTTTTCTTTTCTTTTCAAATGACCAAGCTAAGCACGCTCAATTGCTTACCTGTTCTGGTGTCAATGGCAACCAATAGATGCAAGGCGTTGTTTTCGTCTTACGGAACAGATCGTCCAATAAACGTAACGGTGGTTCATTATCTTTCTTTGCATATTTTCGACCTGCAAGAGTAAAATAGAAATTGTTACTAGAAGCAGAGTTTGTGATGGTTTCACATCCAATTCTGACAATGGGTATTCTCACTTACCAGGCGAAACGGAAGCTGACCGTCTTCGTCTGTCACCTCTTTCCATTCTGTCACCTCTTTCCATTCTGTCACCTCTTTCCATTCTGTCACCTCTTTCCATTCTGTCACCTCTTTCCATTCTGTCACCTCTTTCTCCTCTGTCTCGTTCACCTGCTTCGCGTGTTGGTTTCTGTTCCCGTTCACGTTCCTTATCTCTTTCAGCTCTATCCACTTCTCGCGGCCTATGCGAATCTTTTTTACCTAAGTCCCATTCACGTATCGGCCTATCAGCAGCCACTGCCTGTTATCAAAAGGAAAAAAAATGAGCATTTTAAATATGTTTTCTGTAAACTTGTCGCCATCTTGGAGCATGTCTTTAGATTAAAAGAGCTTGAAGACATGGAGATAGGAACTGACCTTTTCGCGATTCGATTCATTCAAATCATTCGAACTAGCGATACGATCGTCTCGTGAGTAAACATTCGGCTTAATTTCGTCGGCTGTTGATGCGATGGCTTTTTCCATAAGACTTTCTGTGCCAAAATCAACATTCAAACATTTTGGATTCGATGTCGGCCAACGGATGCCATGTAGCGCATGTCGTGTTTCAATCGCTTCACTGAAATTGCAAATCAATACATGAGTACATGAAATCAAAGTCGCATGAATAGATGGACGTAAAAAAAGTGCATCCAATACTTACTCTTCTGTTTCATATTTAACAAAGCACTTTGACTTAATTTTATCTATCCAAAAGCCATCTTCGGTAATTTTGCCGGTCCTCTGTAGCAAACTTTTGAGCTGTAGAACAGTGAATGGTCGCACTAAATTGGTAATATAGAGGATGTTGCATGGGTTTTGTTTGGCCGGGCTCAGCGGTTGTTCGCCTTCTGATTCTACAATCGATATTTTCCGTGATGTACTGATACTAACTGCTACATCCTCGGTCGATTCCACCAAATGTTCTTCGCTGCGGCGATTATAGTCTATCGACGTGGAACTAACGACCTTGACATCGTCTGATTCGTGATCAACTTCGGGCGATGAGTCCAATTTGATATCGCTCAACGGCACCGGTTTCACATCCGAGATCAAACCCTTTAGCGAATCAGTGGAAATGGCAATCTCTTGTACTTTTGGTGCGGCAGTTTTATTTGTCAACCATTTCCGCTTTCGTATGATGGGTTTTTTCTTGTTCAATTTTGTGGCCGAATCCGTTTCACTGGCGGTCGTATCTTTTGCCGTTGTATCAGCTGCATCACTATTCAAAGTGTTACCATTTTGTAGTTCAGGACTTTTCATTGGTGTTTCTGTTGTTTCATTCACTTTTGCTTCATCGGAACTTTTAACCTCATCAATCAACGGTTTTTTCGGTGATTTCCCACGGCTATCTACTTCATTTTCAACTTGCTTACTCGCAGTTGTTTCGGTTGTCTCCGGCGTAGCCTTTGCCTCTTCATTGCTTATCTGTCGTTCAATTCGTTTGAGTGTTCGTCTGCGCGATTTGCTCGGCTCAACTGGCTCACTAGGTTCCGGTTTAACTTCAACTGGTGTCGCATTCTCGGTTTTTTCTTCAGATTCCTTTTCATTTTCGGTTTCAATGGGTGTTGTCGGTTTTTCATCCTCTACACTGTTGCTGCTATTTTCAACCTGAGTTGGTGTGGTCACCGGTTCGGTTGAGCTATCAACACTGATTGTTTCCGGTTTTTCCAACGGCTCCTCAACTTTTTCATTCTCTTTTGGCTCGTCAACGGTTGTGGTTTGATCGGGCTCGGTACATTCTTCTTCTGGAATATCTGCGTCCTTTTTAGCAGTGCCTCGTCTGCGTGTACGTGTTGTTGTTGGTGTTGCCTTGACATCTTCAGCCGACGATGATTTTTCAATGGTGCGGCTTGTGCGTCGGGTTCGTTTCGGTGCAACAACTTCTTCGGGTTCATTATCTGAACTGGACGCTTGATCACTTGAATTATCACTTTCCTCTTCGTTAATCGGTGATTTTTCGGGTGACTTACGGCCACGACGCGTTGACCTACGACTCGTTGGTTCCGTCTTCTTTATCGGCGAACTTTTCACCGTTCGCTCACTTTTTCGACGCATACTTGACAACCCTCCGACTGAACAATTACTTTGAATGAATTTTTACGTAGATTTTTCAATTGATTCGATCTATCCGATCTATCTGCTGATTTATTAAGTTTCACTAATAAATTTTTTTACTGATTCTTTATCGTAAAAGGTGTAATAAATTGTCTAAAATTGTGTGAAATATGTGTGAATCTTGCAAAGCAAATATACAGCATCAAACTAGGGACGCCATTTTGCATTTATATATACTAAAAGAAAAACCGCATATGAACCAACCAACTGTCAAAAATTGCTGTTTAACACGACGTTCCACCGCTCCATTTGAATGGGACCAAAACGTTTTCAGTCGTTTCAACCGTTCATTTAAAATTGACCATGAATTTTCGCAACAAATGCGTTAATTAAATAAAACATGTTTTTTTTATTTTATTTTCATGAATTTTAGCTATGGATTCAAGTCAGAAAAAGTGCAAAATTATCGATTCAATTAAAGTAGTCTGTCTGTTGTAGCGGTTGATATAATTCCCGTACCAAACTGAACCGACGAATGGAACTAACTCCAAATACGTGACGTAAGCCGAGAAATAAACTGGAAAATGAATTCGAGATGATGAAAAAAAGGCAAAACGAAGAAGAAGAAGAAGAAGAAGAGTCGGTTCAGCAAAAAGATGAAGTAAATGTATTGCTAGCGGCTTGGTTTGTGTGTGTCATTTTTTGGTATCAGCAGCAGCAGCAGCAGTATTACTGCATTGCACTGAGAAATCGGTTTTTTGGGTTTGGCCGGAATTTTAAGTTTGTTTTTTCATCTTTATTTTCCGTTCCAAAAGAAAATTGTTCTGAAAAAAATTCCTTACACCAATAACAATTTAAATCCGTAATACGTAGTTGATTCAGTGGACGACACAAATTGTTGTGAGTTTGTGAAGTTTTACAGGCGACAACAAATTTAAAGCCTATTTTTTCTCGCTACAACACACACGCATAGTAGTGTTCGGTCGACGAAAGAAGTGAAACTTTTTTTTTTTAATCTGCAAAACAGCGCACAATCATGATCTTGTTAGAAATAAACAATCGAATCGTCGAAGAGACATTGCTAGTGAAATTCAGAAATGCATTAGCCAAGTGAGTAAAAAAGCATTTTTTTTTCTGGTGTGTGAATTTAAAAATAGCCAATAACAATTGACACGGTTGTTGTGTATGTGTGTTTGTGAACAAATAACCATGACTTTTGGACACACAACCGATTTATGATGACACAAAAAAAAATGATTCATAACTTTTTCATACGAAAAAAAAGGCAGCATAATTTAGAAAACTATTTGCGTGCTCATTGCGGCTAATCGTATTCATTCACGTTTTTTTCGTCTACATTTTTTTTCCTTATAGAAATAAGCCTGACTCAATTGATATCACAATCGCCGACTTTGATGGTGTCCTATTCCACATTTCAAATGTAAATAACGATAAAACAAAAGTTCGAGTAAGTGCCATTCACAACACATTTATCAGTTTTAGATATTTTATTGGAGATTAGAAATTTTTTTTTCAGTGGCATTTCCTCCTATATATATAATTGTTGTGTGTGTTTGTGTTTATTTAGGTTAGCATATCGCTACAATTTTACAAAGAACTACAGCAGCATGGGGCCGATGAACTGCTACGACGGGAATATGGAAATTTGTTGACAGATGTCGAAGAAGGTACGCATTTCCACCATAATTGCCATTCAAAATTTAATCGAAATTCTGTGAATTGTACAATTGAATTGAAATTGATACGAACATTTGATGTTAATGTGATTTTTCGTTTACCGGCAGGTTACAATGTGTCAGTGCTAATTGATTTAGACAACATCCCATCGGATTGGGAGAAGGTCGCACAGAAAGTCGGTCTCCTGAAACGTAATTGCTTTGCCTCGGTATTCGAAAAGTATTTCGACTTCCAGGAGAAGGGCGAAAGTGGTAATAAACGGGCTGTCATCAACTATCGAAAGGATGAAACACTGTAAGTATTCGGTTATACAGCTCAATCACTGTTGCAATGAGTCATTTGAAGTTTTTTCTGTAAATATATTGCGATAATTTATTCGAATGAATCATAGAATAATTTTATTTATATATAGCAACACGATAAATGTTGTCGCTGGCTTTATATTCTTGGTTTTTGTATAATAATTGTTTTGTTGCCTACAAAGATTAATCTAAAAAAAAAAATCTTCACACATTGCAGTTATGTTGAAGCGCAAGCCGACCGGGTGACCGTTGTGTTTAGCACAATATTCCGTGATGAGGATGATGTGGTGCTGGGCAAGGTTTTCATGCAAGAATTGAAAGAAGGTCGACGAGCTTCACACACAGCGCCTCAAGTGTTGTTTTCGCATCGAGAGCCACCCTTGGAACTGGCCAACACAGACGCTCGTGTCGGTGATAACATTGGCTATGTAACTTTTGGTGAGTTTAGGCAACAAAAAAAATAGCAGCTACTTTTGCTTGATGAAGGCTCACTAGCATTAGCAAACTGATTTTTTCATGGCTAATTCCCAAATTATTCATGTAATTCTTTATTTTCAGTACTTTTTCCACGACATACCAATAAGAATACACGCGACAACACAATTAATTTGATTCATATGTTCCGTGATTATCTCCATTATCACATTAAGGTGAGTTTTTTTTTCGCTTCATCCATTGATTTATTTCATAAAGTCCAAAAAGTGTGATGCGAAATTGAAAAACTTCGAAGCCTGGTTCAAGTATGAAATTCAATATGGACCACAGTTTAGAAGTTCATCAAAAACCATTTAAACTCTCTTTAATCCGCAAAATTTTTGTATGTAATGTGAATATTGCAAGTCAATTAATGAGCATTTTTCTTCGTGTGCTAAAATTTCAGTGTTCGAAAGCCTATATGCATTCACGAATGCGCGCCAAAACGAATGATTTCTTGAAAGTGTTGAACCGAGCCCGGCCTGAAATCAAACAACAAGAGAAGAAGACAATAACGTAAGTTATCTCTTATGATTAAAGTCATAAATAAAGCTCAATGTCATAGTAAATTCCGTTCATTCTAAAACCTTGTTCTTTACCTTTTTCTACTACAGCGGCAGAACATTCATTCGAAAGGAGTGATTGCGGAGCGTTGCAATTGTAAAATGTTGATTTATTTTTTACTTTAATTCAAACACAAGTTTGTTTTGATTTTTTTTTCTATATGTTCAATACTATACAACTAGTGTCAAGTTTATAAAAAAAAAACAAAAACAACAACAGCAAGAAAAATACCTATAGAGAAAAGAGAAGAAGAAAAAAAATTGGCAAGAATAAGATGAAGAAAAAAAGAGAAGAAATTGCATAGCATCAAGAATAGCGGCATCAAGTCGCGTATATTATCATGTCAAATGAGAAGAGTCACAGAGAGAATTAAGTATCTACAGAGAACCGCCAAAACAAAATTTTCAATTCGATTCGAATAAAAATTCTTTTTTCTAATTTATGATAATGCTTTGATTCGCCAAACAAAATTTTAAAAAGAGTAACAAGAAAAACTCCAGACAAAAATACGGTTCGATTTAAGATGTATTAATAAAAAGAAACAACAACAACAACACGTAACTGGTTGAGTGTGTTTGATTTCTTTGGTGTTTTGGCTAAAAAAGGTAAGAAAATGCCGAACAAGCTAAATGTTCTGAGCTCATTTCCATTTGATTACGTATCTGTTCAATCAGCATGCAATTCTTCAGCAAAAAAAAATATGATTCCGTGTGCAATTCATTCATTCGCCGCTATACATTGAAAAAGCATGCACTTCCTCTGTAATAAGATGATTATTATGGTGATGAGTTCATTTAACGCTTCAATTTGCACGATGAACTCCCACACGTACAACGCATTATTATTACTAATCGTATCTATTCGACTTGATTCATGTATATCCACACCACATTTTTCCCGTCTCAAACTGAACCGAAATTCACGCGATACCGAATCGGTTCTATTCCAAACGGTCCGGATCACTTTTACCGCAACACGATGTGTGTATGTGACATTTCAATCGGTTCAGTTTGTCATCTGTCATATCATTACACTGCATTTTTGACTGTATCTCTCTCATTCTCATCAAATCGAATATTGTCAGCGTCATATTTGCCGAAGCATACAGTATTCATATTCAATTTGTACTGCCAACTTTTTTTTCGTGCATTCAAATATTACAACGACAAAAAAAAACACTACACTTTTTTGTTTATTCCAATTTTGAGGTGTAAAAAATTAAAACCAAATTTCTGTAAAAATGGATCGTTTGTTGAGATTGGGTGGAAATGTTCCAGGGCTATCGCAACCAGCTTTGTCAGATGCTCCAGTTGTCGATACCGCCGAACAAGTGTAAGTATAAAACATTGATGAAATTTCAAGTGATCATCGCATTTATTCCAATTATTTCATTTCAATGCCATCGAATTGTAGATATATTTCATCGTTGGCTTTGCTCAAGATGTTGAAACACGGTCGCGCTGGAGTGCCAATGGAGGTTATGGGTCTCATGCTTGGTAAGCAAAATTTGCACAAACAACACTCAACTTTTCTCTAATTTACCTCTGAACCATAAATCAACTCACCGTTTCTGTCTATTCAAGGTGAGTTTGTGGACGACTACACAGTTCAAGTGATTGATGTATTTGCCATGCCACAAACGGGTACTGGTGTATCCGTTGAAGCTGTTGATCCCGTTTTCCAAGCAAAAATGTTGGACATGCTGAAACAAACGGGCCGACCTGAAATGGTTGTCGGATGGTATCACTCACATCCTGGTTTTGGATGCTGGTTGTCCGGTGTTGATATCAATACACAACAGTCATTCGAAGCATTGAGCGAACGTGCTGTTGCCGTTGTCGTCGATCCAATTCAATCGGTGAAGGGAAAAGTTGTAATTGATGCGTTCCGTCTTATCAATCCAAATATGCTGGTGCTTGGTCAAGAGCCACGACAAACCACCTCGAATTTAGGGCATTTACAAAAACCATCCGTTCAAGCACTTATTCACGGTTTGAACCGACACTACTACTCCATCAGCATTAACTACCGCAAAAATGAATTGGAACAGAAAATGCTGTTGAATTTACATAAAAAATCATGGATGGACGGTCTTACGCTCGCCGATTACAATGAACATTCTTGTTTGAATGCAAGTACCGTTGCCGAAATGCTGGAATTGGCCAAGAATTATAATAAGGTAAAGACTGTTTCTTTGTTATGTTAGGGAAATCTCTTTTGAGACTCGTAGGAACATGACTCGTTTAGAATTTCTGAAGAAAAAAAAAACTTAAATTTCGATGCATTTTTCAATGAAAATCGTTATTTTTCTCCCATTTCAGGCTTTGGAAGAAGAAGAAAAGATGACACCAGAACAATTGGCCATTAAAAATGTGGGTAAACAAGACCCAAAACGGCATTTGGAAGAAAAAGTCGATGCTCTCATGCAAAACAACATTGTGCAGTGCTTAGGTGCCATGCTCGATACGGTTGTTTTCAAATGAACATCTCACCGAACATCGACTTTGTACTCGATCCATATTCATTATCTGATTTAATCACACAATCTTTTCTAATAATTAAATGTTTGATTTTTTGCGATAAAAAAATAAACGAAACAAAAAAACTTTATTCTCACAATTGGCGTATATATTTATACCTTGGACGATTTGAATATTTCAAGTTGAATATTTTTCAATTGACAGTTTCAGCAAAAAAATAGGGTTAGTGATTCATTTACAATTTTGACGCTAGATTTTGCATCCCAATATTTTTGTCGGTTAATCCATTGATTAAATCATTTTGAAAAAATTCCGATTCTTCAATTCCAATTCATGTTCTCATATTCCATTCCATCCAATTCCAAAGCAACTGGAGCCTTCACTTCGATCACCACAATGACTCTACGTTTATTGTCAAGTGCGACACATATATCTGTCTCTTTCACGCACTCTCCGGTTTCGGTTGTTTACTCAAGCATTTTACATGGCAGCGACACACATCGCAACATTGTTTGTCATCATCCAACGTCAACGTGCTACTTTCACCAGTCAAACATCGACTGGCAATGTCAGCAACTGTGATCAAAACTCCGTCCTAAATGTACAAATCCAATTAAATTCGCCCAGTAGATTGGACATTTTAATAAGTGCGTTGTAAATCGCTCAGACGCAATGATTTCGTTTTTGGTGCATTTTCTTCGTCAACATTTCTTTATAATTCTATGTTGTGTGGTAACGGCTTTCCTGTGGCCCGAACTGCGAAAACACTTTGTCAACGAGTATGAACAGTATCAAACACGTAGCGAATCAGATGTGCGATTGTTTACCAGGGAAGAATTGACACAGTTTGATGGTATACACAACAAAGAGTTGTATTTGTCGATACTGGGCAGTGTTTACGATGTGTCAAAGGGTTTGAAACACTACGGACCAGGCGGAACGTATAATTATTTTGTCGGTAAGTTTTGGTGGCTAATCGAAGGCCAAAAATGACATGCAATCGTATTAGAATATATAATAGACTAAAAATCAATTTTATTCAAATTTATTCGAAAATAGGCAAAGATGCCTCAGTAGCATTCATAACTGGTGACTTTGAGAAAGATCCAAATAGTGATTACGAAGATGATGACGTATTAAAACACTTGAAAGCGCAAGAAATCTACAGTATTCATCAGTGGAAACAATTCTATGAAAAGGATTACATATTTCTTGGCCTCTTAACCGGACGATTCTATGGGTACGATGGTGAGAAAACCGATTACATGAAAAAGGTCGACGAACAAATCGAAATTGCCATCGCTGAAAAGGAGAAACATGAGCGATTACGCGTGAAGTATCCACCATGTAACATTGAATGGAAAGCAGAGACAGGAACTCGTGTTTGGTGTACAAGTCAAAGTGGTGGCATTGATCGTGATTTTGTCGGCGTTCCACGACGATTCTATGAAGTTGGCAAGTCGGAATTTCGATGCGCTTGTGTGCCAGACGACCGATTAGAAGATCCTCTATTGAAAGGTTATGACGATTGTGATCCAAAATCCGTCGAATGCTTCTATGTAGTAGATTAAAGTAACAAAGTCCCTTATCAATGAGCTCAAATTTTGAGATTTAAGACATTAGTTTGTAGTAGAATAAAATATGGGTAAAATGATCAAACAAATGCACCTAGAAATTAGCTGTGTGTCAGTGTGCCTTAAAGCAACATTTGTTATGAAATGACAAAAAAGCAATAAATCTACACTATTTTACACTTTGAAACGTTCTTTATTTCGATTTGGTGTGTGTTTTCATATGCACTTTTAGTGCAATGGGTTGAATGAATCTTTTAGAGCAAATGGAGCAAGAGAGCGGTCGTTCACCAGTGTGGGTCATGACATGATGTTTTAGCGTTTCCGATTTACCAAAGGATCGATCGCAATGTGGGCATGGGAATGCCTTGACACCAAGATGAACCACTTTCATGTGTCGCTTCATATTCGCCTGACGGGTGAATACCAATGAACAAAGATTGCACGGGAACTGAACATCTTCATTATGGTATTTCATGTGGACTCGAAGCTCGTGTCCGGTTGTTTTGCGCAGGCCACACGTTGGACAAACAAAATTCTTGATCCCATCATGGCGCATTGTGTGCTCCTTCAGTTTGTATTTTGTGGCAAACATTTTTGAGCAAATCTCACATTTGAACGGAGTGTCTTTCGAGTGAGTATAAGAATGCCGGATGAGGCCAGCATTGCTATTGAATGATTTGCCACATTGTTCGCAGATTCTAGTCGTAAAAGCTGACTTTTTGCCATGATGCACTTTGGAAATGTGTACTCGAAGAGATTCCTGCAACAAGAAGATGAAATTTAATAAGCAAAATTGTATCGATTACTTAAGTTGAAGCGATTGAAAAAACTATAAACAATGTATTGAGTTTCGAGAAGATTTTTTTCTTATCGCAATTTGATCATTAAATACCTTCATCGAATATGACTTGTCGCAACCATCAACTTCACACTTGAATATTGGTTGTTCTCCTTCGGAATGTTTCGCCGATATGTGCAGCGTCAGCGACGTGTATTTGTCGTATGCTCTATCGCAATGGTCACACTTCCACTGCTTCAAACCTAAATGTGTTCGCATGTGAGCGTCGTATCGGTGTTTCTTGAAAAATTTCTTCGAACAAATATCACAAACATGATTGAATTCGCTTGCACTGGTTTTCTTTGTATTGGTTTTTTTCTTGGCTTTTTTGCTTTGTTCATTGGGTA